CACAAATAAAATCATCCATAACGACCTAGATGTTCCACGTTTTTCTGATTTGGCCCAATCCAGATAACTATCTTTCCATAACAAACTTGAGAACCACCCGAATCCTCTCGTTTCAAACCTTGCTTCCTCCTAGATCCCTGATAATCCTCCTGAAACGAAAATGGTCTCGAGTTCTTTTTGTGTAAATTTATTATTTGATTGCTATGAGTGGGTAGTTTCTCAACGAGTGATTTTATCTAATTATATTCCTGAGTGCTTATTTATTAGATGAAATTTGTTTTAATATAGTTGTAAATATGATGATACAGCCATCCTATCCTCTCACTCAGTTCCTCTAATGGCATCCCGAAACCTGCAAAGACACCTCTCATTGATTCAGCAACAACTGGCGCATCAAAATTAACGAATCAAACAGTCACTTTCACTCTTCGACGCAGACCCTGTCCGCCAATCCTTTTTAATTCAATTCCTCTTTTAATCAGACACAGTCCAATACCTTGGCTTCCTTCTAGACAAAGAATAACTTGGAACTCACATACGAGACTCAGAAGACAAGAGCTTAACCGACGATTTGGTCAGCAGACTACTAAACAGAACATCTCACCTCTCAACAGAAAACAAACTATTAATCTACAAGACCATACTGAAACCTATCTGGACATACGTACTTGAACTGTGGGGAACTAGATCGTCGAATATCAAACGTATCCAATCCTTCCAGTCTGAAGTCTTTCGAACAATAGTCAATGCTCCATATCATGTCACAAACAAGATCCTGCACCATGGCTTTAACATCCCATCCAGATTTTAAAACTTTAATCAGAACCTTATTCATCATCATAATCCTCTAGCGCAATCCCTACCACAATCCGAGCTTCCATACCATCCTCCTTGAAAGTTAAAACGGCAGTGGCCTCGAGATCTCTTGTAAATATGCTTTTGGAATCCTGGCGATGGCCAGCTTCTCCATTTAAGTCCTAAGCGTATGTGGCTCAAGTGCTCTCTTTCAGAGCTTCTAATACTAGTGAGCCGGCTGGAAAATTGGCAGTGGGATCTCCTGGATTCCTACTTTACCTTCCACATGTGGAGGAAAAAACTTGGCTTGGGATTCGTGTATATTTTGTAATAAGTATGAATGTGTTTAGAAAATTTTTTTCTTATTTTTTTTTATCACTATTATTTATTTACTTTTTATATTTATAGTTATTTCTCTATTATTGGTATATATTTTATGAATCAGAACTTAATACTTATAGTCCTCCAAAAGTGGCTGATTCTATTATTATTCAATTAATAAAGTTAAAAATAAATGATAGATTAAAAAAATTAATATTACACTAGTCTTATTTAATCTAGTCTTAATGATGCGTACACCTTACCAGATTTTTGTTTTATTTATTTATTTATTATTATTCATTTGTTTTATATTAGTTCGGACAGCTGAGATTGTACTGTTTAGTGGAAAATTTATTTCTGCCCCATCGATGTTGAATTCAGCTTGGGTACATTAACGTGGGTCCTAGCCTATACCTGAGTGTACCCAGACATGGGGCAAAAAAATATAACAGCTGCATCCTCCCTTATCAGTTTGCTGGCTCCAATAACTAAAACTAAATCCAATATGAAAGCCTTTATTTTTAGGATTTATATCGAACTACTCACCTCAATTAATTTTTTTTTATTTATCTTCTTATTTTTCTTTTTTTTTATGAAGCCTACGTTTATACATTTTTCCAAGAATAAGGCAAAAAACACTTCCATTTTTCTTCAGTACTTTTAATTACATCTGTTATATCTTAGGTCTCGGGACAATTTTCCCATCATCCACTAGCGGATCCAGAATATAATTTTGGGGGGGCTTCAGCCCGAAAGGTGTTTTTTTTCATAAAAATAACGATAATTACTTTGGAAAAGAAGAAAGAAACTAACTACCTGTATGAAATGGTGTTTAAGTGATTCCTAAAGCCCCTTTAAATGTAATCACACAAACAATAATACTTTAAGAGATACTTTTTAAATATTTTTTTCGAAAAAACACGCCTATATTTTCCCATTTTGGGGGGGGCTTCAGCCCGAAAGCCTCCCCCCCCCCCGTAGATCCTCCCGTGCCATCATCAGAATATTCCTATGTTTATTGCTTTTGTGATGTGGCACCAGTTGCCAAAAAATTCATAATTGTCATATTTATTTCATATTTTTTTGGTGTTACACATTCATTTCTTGTTCATTATTACACCAACCAACATCTCTAGATAAACACTCTGATGATGGGAAAATTGTCCCGAAACGTAAGATATAATAGATGTAATTAAAAGGGAAAAAAAGTATTTTTTGCCTTAACCTTGGAATTTTTTTTTTATATATTATTGTATTCTGCCTTTGCTCTGCGCGAATTTTCAAGTTACAATATAAATTGATTTTTGTTTTCGTAAAATAAGAAAAAAACAATCCTGGTTATATTAAACGGATTCAAATTTATAAAAAAGTACAAATCCAAACGATACGGCTTCTAGTAGAGAAGTTCAAATAAATTTAACGTAAACGTTTTTATTTTACCTATTTAATTTAGTCGGAGGGTGCGGTCAAATAAATACTAAATTTTTAAAAAATAGTGTTTTTAATTGTTTCGCCGACGTTTCGACCCACTTTGCAGGTCTTCATCAATGCTAAAAATTATAAAAGGTACATGGTGAAAATAAGATAAACGAATATAAGTAGATATTAAATAAGAAACAGTTGTCGGATAAAGAAATAATAAGATGACATCACAGCTGTAGTGAGTGACAGTGTGCTTAAAATAACAAGTATTATATATATATTGAAGATACAAACAAAAATATAAAATAAGTATGAATAAAAATAGAAAACAAAGGAGAATATAGCTGATAAGTTAAAAGTAAACAAATTGTGATAAAAGATAAGGAATGAGTTAATAAGATAGGAAATGGGCGTTGATCGCACACTCCGACCAACTCCTTCTCATATTATACCACAGTCAACCATCTCTACATCGTTTTTATTTTATATATCCTGTTCTGATTTATTTACAAGGGTCTGGTTTGTGAAGTTTATAGGGCCCTAAATCCCTGCCAATATCCGTGTGGATTGGTGTTGTCTTGACCTGTTATAATTTTTGTAATTTTCGAGAAAAAAAAATAAAACCCATGTTTTATGAACTTCATGAAAAATTATGAACAAACATTTTTTTTTTTTTACGTTACTATGAAATTTCTTATTTAAAGGTTATTTGAGGTGCGAAAAGCAAATACCAACTTTCTTTATCCCTAAAAAATATTTAATATGATCCGGATGTGTATATCGTGAATACATTTGATGAATTTAATCAATATCGTTAGAGCCATTTTCGAGAAAATCGTAAAAATGTAAAATTAGCTGATTATGACGAAAAAGTTGCTGTAACGTCCCAAGTATATAAAAATCTAAAATATGCAATTTTTTTTTTAGTTTTTGAGCTAGATTGTTAACACACACAGACCTTTTTGAAGGACTTGGTTATTTGGATTCAGGGGACCCAAAACATGTATTTCCGTTGAAAACTGTTGCGTTCGAAAATTTTCACGATCGCAATACTTTACTATATATTTCATATATAGGCAAGTGAAAGTAACAAATAAATAAATACAACAGAGCTTCTATGTTGTATTGTACACCATGCATGGAACCATACCTATAGACTAAATAATCTATAAATTTAATAAATGTAATCTACTATAAATATTATCTAAAATAAATATATTAACAATCTATTAAAATTCACAATAATTACTAATTCAATATAAACAATCTATTAAAATAAAAACATAAATATAAATAACTAAAATGAACAATAGCAACTTACGCATATTAGATATAATGCTAATATAATAATAATTAGTAGGATACTCGAAATATAAATTATATATATAAAAATATAAATAAATACTTTGACGACTTTATCAAGATATCGCCACTGCTCTTGGAGATTTATTCTATTCTAATAAAGGTGAATTCTTCTATTGTCATCTATTTAACACACTTGAGTGTTAACACAGGAGATAGTCAGTGTTGGTTCTTTCTTACTGTTGCCTCAACACAGTGTAGCCAATAATCCAATAGAAAATTATTAACATCTAGACTGGATATTGTCTATTTAAATAGATACTAAAAACTCATAAATACTCATGTGCTTTCCACTTGAATCGTAAGATAATTTGAGCACAAAATCAAGAAAAGAGATAGCCTTCAAAAATATTTTGCCGTTTGATGTTACCTACACACCCAACATATCAAAATAACGATGTTACATAGGCCGAACGGCCCAATACTTTTGTAGGCCACTTTTTTATCTAGATTTTTTGTTCAAATCATCTTACGATCCAAGTGGAAAGCAAATGGTTATTTATGAGTTTTTAGTACCTAATTAAATAGACCCGAGCCAGATACCTATCTTTTCATTATGAACTCGAGTCCCATCCAGAACCACTTGTTTGCAGCTTTTCTTCTTCCTCGATTCCTGATAATCCCCATAACCATCTGAAAAGAAGATGGTCCCGTTATCTTCTCACCTAGAATTAAATAGGGAGTGAGTGCTACCACTGGGCAGTATATTTTCAAGTCTGTTCATGTCATTATTAATAAAAAAAGAAAAAAAAAAGGGATTTGTACCACGGACTAGTTTTCCTTTACCTAAATTTCATTTTGAACATACTTTTATCCCGTCCTTTTTTCCACCATTTTACCTTCGGTCTCCCTTTTCATTTCTATTTGTAGTTCTATAATTATTTTTAAAAGTCTTTCTAGAGACATTCTTTTAACGATTCCAAACTGCCTTAATCTTTTTTCTTTAATATATGCTGGAATGTTCTTTTACACCAAAATCGATTCCAAGATCCTTTCATTTTTAATTCTTTCTCATCGTTTAATTGGATTTTTAAATCCCATTAATTGGAAATATCAAGCTTGTAAGTTAATTATAACTTTTTTATTTATTTTTTTTTTAGGAAATTTTGAAATTCAAAGAGCTCCAAATTCTATACTTACACGGCAACTGCATCGACAACATGCTGGATATCTTAAAATTAAAATCATTGAAAAACTTAAAGACGTTGACACTGCACGGTTGCCCCATCGAGACCGTCCCATTTTATCGACAGAAAATGGTGTACTTATTGCCACAGGTCAAGAATCTAGATTTCGTCACCATCACCCCAAGAGAAGCCGTTGCACCGGCCCCTCCGGGCGCAAGGGAGCTCCTGAAGGTTTACGAAGGAGAAGAGAAATAGATTTATGAGTGGAAATTCAAACAATTTGCTTTAAAAAAAACATAGAATACATTATTATTCAATGAAAATTTATTGTCATATTTTGACAATATTCGATAATAAAGTAGGATAAATCCAAGAATAACCCTTCAAGGTTATTTTACGAAATAAACGAGTGATCAAGAAAGAGGTATAAATTATTTCTTTAACTATGAGTGAACTCAACAGCTGGTCGATGTATTTTCTTTTCAATTATCGTTTTTAATTAAGTAGCTTATTTTTTATTTTTTTACTTCTAATTATTGGAAGCGATTGCGCCTGCGCTTATGGATTCACTTACTTAAGCCAAGAAAATCTGCTAAGGGATTATTCATAGCACAAGCGAAATCAAGATTTAATTTTGTGGGAGGGGCTTCAGCCCGGAAGCTTTTTTTTTCATATATATAACGATAATTACTTTGGAAAAAGAGAAAGGAACTACTATATGGAAAAACTACCTATATGGATCGGTGTTTAAGTGATTCTTGAAGTCCTATTAAATGTAATTAAACGAGCATTAATACTTTAAGACATAATTTTTTAATATTTTTTACCATAAAACATAGTTACATTTTACCATTTTGGAGGGAGGGTTTCAGCCCGAAAGCCTCCTCCATAAACCGGCCTGTGATTCATAGTTATATTTGTAGGAATCACAGGCGGATCTACGGGGGGGCTTTCAGGCTGAAGCCCTCCCCTCCAAAATGGTAAAACATAACCATGTTTCACAGAAAAACATATTAAAAACTATCTCTTAAAGTATTCTTGTTCGTTTAATTGCATTTAATAGGACTTCAAGAATCACTTAAACACCATTTCATATAGGTAGTTAATTTCTTTCTTTTTTTTTTCAAATTAATTATCGTTATATTTATATGAGAAAAAAAATCTCTCTGGCTGAAGCCTCCCCCCCCCCAAATTAAATCCTGAATCCGCTAGAGGTAGGAATTCTAGTGGTATTTGTTAGGCAAAACTTAATCTTCTTTGATTATCTCAAGAAAAACAGATTTTTTTTTTTTCATTTACAGTCATTTTTAGTCCAGTCAATGAATGATTATTGATGACAATGTCAGGAACACAAGTTTCGACTTTGGGACATTAGTAAGGAGGTAAACATACTAAAAGTTTCTCGGTGGTGGGCCAGATGTGGAAGTAAAAGACGCGTAGGTGACTTTTTTTGGGATTTCGCTAATATCAGGAAAACTATTCATTGCATCGACAAAGACGTTCTATACAAAATTAAAGCTGATAAAGTATGTAGCTTTTTTCGCTCCCTAGCTTAGTTTCCGAGATATCCGTCTTCAACCATGGCTAATTTTGAAAATGGCTGTTTATTGCTGTTTTTCGCGTTTTCGCTTGTATCACAAAAACTATCCATCACAACGACAGAGACGTTCTATACAAAATTTAAGCTAATAAAATTTACAATATTATTGATTTTATACCTTTTTTCGCTAACTCGTTTCCGAGATATTTGTCCTCAACCATCGCTAATTTGTAAATAAAAATGTTTACCTCATGTTTTTAACTGTATTTGAGTAGTTAACTCTTGATTGTTTCGTTCTACGATTATGTTATGAAGAAGAAAATGTTTAATAATTAATTTTTCTTCAAGAATATATATTATTTTACACATCTTCAACGGTTTGAAAATTGGATGGATTATAATGTGTCGATTCCGAGAATTTAATGAAAAAATAAATTTTATAATATACGTTATTATATTGCTCTAACTCTCTATACATCTAAATCTCTTCCTATTTGCATAGATATAGAGCAAAATAACGACATAATTTTTTTTTCCAGCAAATTCTCGAAATTGACATATAAAGTTATAATTTACTTAACTTTCTAACTTGAAGATAAACTAGTAAAATAATAGTAATTATTAAAAATTTTCTTCTACATGATTTAATCGTAGAACGAAGCAATCAACAATTAGCTAGTCAAATATAGTAAAAAATATAAGGTAAACATTTTTTTTTTCCAAATTAGCGATAGTTGAGAACGGATGTCGGGAAAACTAAGCGAGGTAGCGAAAAAAAGGTAAATAATCAATCATATTGCAAATTTGATCACCTTTAATTTTGTATAGAACGTCTTTGTGGATGTGATGTATAGTTTTCCTGATATAAGAAAAAAAAAAAAAAAAGTTACTATATAGGAGTGGAGATTTTTAGTATATTACCTCCTTACAAGTCCAAACAATTTCCCAAAGTCAAAAATTGTGTTTCCGCCAATATATCTCCTTTTGGAGTATTCATTGACTCTTATTTTTTATTTCAGGACCTAATAATTGCAATGAGAAATTTTATCAAACAATGTGTTTTCAAATATTTACTGGGCTTCCACAATTTCTAGTTAACTATTTCTTTATGCCACTTAGGCATAAATATAATAAATGATTTTATATATGAAAATTACAATCATTACTCCTATGCTTCAGTTCCAAAAACTGAACTAAATTCTATGATAATATTAATATGACTGGTTTTGAAGCAAAGCTGAATGGTCTGATATTCAGTAACTTTTTTTTAAGGGCTTAAATTAGAACTTACATAACATTAGAACATTTTTTTACTGTAAAATATTGTATAATTTTTCAATGTTTTTATTGAGTATTAAAAAATAAATTTTATTCTGTATCATAAAATATAGCAGGCAGATTGGAATATAAGCAACCATTTTAATAATATAATTACTGGTCCCATTATCCTCCAATAACTCATATTCTAAAGTTTATAATTTAATTAGAATAACTTTGTTCGACCCCTGACATACTCCTATAGCCCAGCTTACATGGTCAATATTATTGAATATGGTTTATGTCAATATAATTGTCACAATATATCCATCAGGTCAATATATACAATCTTGATTATGTAAGGGGTTCTTATAGCAGAAGTAGGTAACCTATAGTCTCCTTGAGTTTTTGTGCTGTATTCATAAATGCTATTTCTGGAATTGATTATATAGATTATGAAATTAAAATCAATGTATGTATATATATGTTTGTGCAAATAAAAATACCTACAATGAAATATAACTATGTTCATTATCACTACCTAACCTAAATGTCACCTCTAATAATAATATAGAATCACAGTTATAAAACAAAATAAATATACAAACAATTCATCTAGATTTGTTTAGTTACTCAAGATAAAGGAAGCACTGAGAAGAGATAAGTTGATACTGTACTATCTTCTTTCTCAAGGTCACTGTTGACCATTGAAGAGTTAAATAAAATGGCTTTTTAAAATAAATTTGTAATATTTCTTAATCTGTTTTATAAAATCTTAGTTTAACTATTGTATAAGATCATGGAGGATAAATCATAGTAGAACTAATAAATATCTACATCTAATGGGTATTGCTGAGTGGTCACTGTCCAACATGCTTTGAGGATCCAAGAAACCTTGTCTTCAAGAGCAGCAAACGATTCAAGAAGCGATAAAGAATTAGTTTAGGATCGCAAACTACGGATGATGGAGCTAACATTCTTTTGGACAATGAATAAAGATTAGACTGTGACTTGATAAAGTTTTTGAATGACATAAAAGCCGTTATATAATAAAAATCGCCTCTTATTCTCATTTAATTGTTATGAAACTACTGTCACCTCAGTTTTCAACCATTAGTCTTTCTAGTTTAAGTACTATATAAGTTACATTCAGTGATCACTTATCTAGAAATATTCAATAAATATCAAGTGTAATTTCATCTTACAATGACAGTTAAAATATTTTATTGGCAAAATAGGACTTGCTTTTACAAGTCTTAAAGCCAAAAAAAAAAGAAAAATGCAGAAAATATTTGTTGATTTGAAATTACAAAAAAATGATACGAGAAAACATTTATCTGTGTAGTTATCAAGTAATTTCATATTAAATATAATCTATAAGTTTTCATTTTCCAACTACTACGCAATTCTCATCCTAAATCTTTTCTTCAGATTAGAACTTTCTAAAAATTCTCATTTTAAGTTTTAGTGGAACTTTTTTGAACAAAAAGTTTGCAAATAAAATTTCTTAAGCATATTTGTTTGGAATAAAGTTCTGGATTTTGTGTTACATTAAATGAGAAATAAGCAGTAAATTGAGCATAGATTAGATATATAATTATCTTAAATGAATCGCCTAATACTTATATAAATAATCTGCTTCACAGCTACCACTTTCTAATTTTCTTATTGGCAAAATAAATTTTTTTAATAGTATTTTCATATAAGGCAAATGTACCGGTAATAAGACAGAGAGAAATTCTCTATATATTATTATATAGACTATATTAATATGAAAAAAGCTTTAGTTCTGACAGTGGATCATTGAAGACGGGTTAATCAAATTTTTTTTGCAGTCAATTAGTTAATTGTTTAGGAAAAATTTGAGAAATTTTAACAGTTTATATTGCACTGGCTATAGAAACCAAGGTTTTTTAAAAAATAAAAAACAAAATAAAGTTTGCAATTTTAAACTAAGAAATACAGATGAAAAAAATCAAATTTTTTTAACCTATTTCCTAAAAATAAATAAGGAAAGTTCGCTTTAATAAAAACCCACCCCTGATCCATTAAAAAATCAACTGCCAATTGGCTACTGTGGCATGGTATCACTTAATATTCTAGCATTACCCTCTTTTCAAGTGTTTTTTGGTGCATACCTACTCAAATTCGAACTCTCTATAAGGTGTATAAATAAATATAATATAAGTTGAAAATTGTACATTATTGGTACACTTACCTTAAACGCTTTAAAAAATTAAAGTTCTATAAAACATTTAAGAGAAAAAAAAAGTTCTAGCACTGAAATAGAAAACCAATAAAAAGTTCCAGTTATATCGAAACTGATTAAAAATAAAAGTTAACTTTTCATTTCAATTCAGACTTAGATTAAGAAAAGCAGAATTTTAAAAATTTAAACAGAAGCTTAAATTAAGAATTTGATTTTTTTAATCATCTATTACTTATCATAATAACCTTTCCATAATTCCATCTAGTTGAGCTGACTTGGATGGAAAAATGATGAGATTCTAAATAGCTAAAAAGGCTTGATTTAGAAATTATTACACAGGTTTTTTTAAAATAAGGGGGAAAAAAAATTAATGCATATAAAACGATATTCTAACTATATATTTTATACACGAGTAAGTGAAATTTAAAAAAAAAGAAAATAGGAATAAAAAACTAAAATAAATTTATTGTTGTACCAAGACAATTTCAATTTTTATTAACATATGTATAATTAAAAAAAGGAAAAATAAAAAATCCAAAATAAATTTATTGTTGCCTCACGACAATTCTTCCAATTTCGATAATATTTAAAAGATAAAAAAAAAGAAAAAACATATAGATATATATTTTTCTTTTTTACAAACACATGTACAATGTTTTTTTTATGAAAAATTAATTCTTTGTAATAATACAATATTCATCCATAATTTACATATTTACAAATTTAACAGTTTAGTCCACTGTATATTCTCGTTATATAAATAAATATATTTGTACAATATACACTTTACAGGTAAGAAACTAATGAATTTCATTAATAATAAACGTCTTTTATTAAAACGGTGATATCAACGTATAGATCACCCACTTATTGTAGTTGTAAAAATAAATATTATTTTACAAAATTCACCGCTATTGTTTAATGTCTACTGCGTATTCTAACTTCTTCGTAGCTATCTCTATGTTTGGATCTTGATTTTTTGTCAGAACTAGAATAGTATTTGTCGTAACTTCCTGAACGTGCACCTGGGCTTCGAGATCTTGACCGATACCGTGTCTTTTCCCTGGAAAAGATTAATTTTTATTACAATTATATAATAAAAATTATTAGGAATTTAGAAATAATAAACCTTAAAACCCTTAATGGTTAAATAAGTATGAGAATAAAACAAAAAATAATAATATATTTTGTATTTATAAATTGATAGGTAAGAAGTAACAGTAACGTCATCATGAGATTGGTTAGCTATGGATTGAGTTAACAATATCTCAGCTATGGAAATATAAAAAGATAGAAACCTTTAAAACCAGAAAAGAAAATGGAAAGTTACCCTCTGCCGTAAATGCGGCAGAGAGTCTGAAACACCAGCACATGTGCTGGGAAATTGCCCCAACAACTCCCTCCTCATAACACGTCGTCACCACCGGGTCAAGTTCGAATTGATGAGGCTCCTTAGGGAAAAAAAATTCACCTGCTTTGACGAGGTATATTGCATCGATAGTGAGGGCTCTACGAGATACGCTGATATCATCGCATTTCCCAAGACAGGAAGGACAGCGCTGATCTTGGATCCAACTGTCCGCTTTGAGAGCAATGACCTCGATCAGGCGGGTGAAGTGGAAAGGGAAAAGAAGAACACGTACGATAAATGTATCCCTTTCCTAAAAGAGAAATTCCGTGAGACCTTCGGAGAGAGAGAGTTCACCGTGAGAGGCCTCTGGTTTGGGTCTCGCGGAACTATCCCAAAAAGAACAAGGAGCTTCCTCGAGGAACTAGGTGTCGACATTAAGGACGTAGCGAGGTTGGCTGAAAATATAGTCCTCGACTCCCTGGGAATCATTCACCACCACGTGCATGGCTAGCCCGAGAGTTTTAATTTGTTTATGTATTGTATTGTTTTGTAATGTATTTGTTTATTTATTTTTTTAGTGAATAATTGAAAACAATAGCGATAAAGAGAGAGAAGTGAGAGAAAGGGAAACTTAATGTTAAATAAAAAAAAAAAAAAAAAAAAAAAAAAAGCATGAACAATGAGAAGAGGGAAAAAGGAAAAAAAAAAAAAAAAAATTATAAGGATAAATAAAATAATAAAAATGTATATATATATATATATTTCTGTTTTACTAATATTAACTAATACTTCTGTATATTTATATATAAGTTCATATATTGTCTTAAGGATAGAAGAGTATGCTGTGTGTATAGCAACCCAATGTAATTGGGCAGCAATCCTTTATATTTTATATTTTATGAAAATAAAGTGTTTCTCTCTCTTAGAAAAAAAATTTTTTTTTCTAATATTAGAGTGTGAATAATACAGTCAACCTTTTAATATAGAGAAATGTAAACCTTTTTTTTTTTTTTTTTTTTTAAATCAGTGTTTATTAGTATCAATGTCCCCTCAATCTAAATCTAAATTAAAGAAACCATATCACTTTGAAGTAGTTTTAAACTTATTATGTTTATTGGCATGACTGGTTAACATTTTCTGATACAGATATAACCTAGGCCTTATTTTTCAATATAAAAAATCAGACAAAATGCTTATACTAATTAAATAAGTTATACAACATTGCCACCCTATATATTTCCCTTCTTGCGACACATATGAAAACATAATATTTAAGTTAAGATCTAATATTGTTATTTAATAATTTTTTAACTATGATATTGGATAGCGGAAATCTTTAGGAAGTAATGGTTGAAAATAATGTTTAGCAGTCACTGCCCGGCACTACAGTACCAGACCAAAATTCTATCTTAAGAAACGTGTATTCAGAAAAATCGACAGAAATATACTTTGAAATAGAAAAGATAGATATTCATCTTACCTCGAGTGTTTACTGGAATGTCTTGGAGGTGAAGGACTGGGGGTGTAACTTCTCCTACGATGCTTCTTGCTTCTTCTTTCGCCCGATCTCGACCTTGCCCTGTAATAAAGAGAATACTTAATAAAATAAAATTTAAAACAGCTATTATTAAAATTTGCCTCCTTAAATAAACACCCCCTCTCACATGGATATTAATGAATAATATGGTTCAGTTCTTAATGTTTAAAATATGGGAGCTGATTCAAGTTGAGTCCAATTCTATCTTTTAAGGTGGTCAAGTTTTTTTTTTCATAAGAAGCGATAACAGAAAAATTATTTAATTCAGGTAATTATAAAGTGCTTCTTAGTAAACTAGACAAAATTGTCTTTTAACACAAGTAGACTTTGTCTTTGTCATAACCAATTAAATAGATGTTTGAGCGGCCAAACTACACTAAGTTGTGTTGTTCATTAAATCATGGATTATTCGCAATGTTTTCTTTATCGTTCTACTACTATACTACATATGCCCCACTTTTATAAAAACTTTCAATTTATTTTAGAATAGAGTTGAGATTTATCTCTATTTATGGGAAAAATTATGAGATTTGATATTACGTCACTCTGTAATTTCAGCAAAGATAACAACTGAAAAATTATTACGAAGTTTTCATTCCTTCCTTTTCTTGTTATCTGACATTTATTTCAGTATTTTAATTATAAAAATATACTTTTAATTGATTAAAAGAAAAAATTGGTTTAAAAAAAATTATTATCTGAGGTGATAATCCACCATTATTTATAACACAGGTATCTATTGTGGAAATTGATCTTTGTAAGTTTACTATTTTTTTTCTTCTTAGGAGTTTCCACTAATAGTGGGTTTCCTAAACCTAAAGTGGTTGGATGGCTTCTTTCCATAATGTCCTATCTAAGATCCGTTCTTTCCTTAGACCATGACCCATCATGGATTCCTCCACTTCGTTATCCCAGGTCTTCTTTCCCTAGTTTTCCATAAGTAGACTTCTTTGGGTAGTCTTCCTTCAAATGTCCATACCACTTCAGGAGTTTTTTCCACTTCAAGTTTTTTAAGTTTAGGAGTTTTTTAACACTTCCAGAATGGTTCTTTTTGCCTCCATCTGATCTCTGATGATCGTATTTCTCACTTTATCCATTCTGGATATTCCCGCCGCACGTCTCCAGTAGTCCATTTCCGGGGCTAGAAGTTTCTTCCTGACGTTGCTTTTTAAGGTCCAAGTTTTTGACCCATACGTCATAATGCTCAGTATTATACTATTGTAGATATATTTATTTTTTTTTGTGGAGGGGGGGGGGGAGATAATGGTCTGGTTCCAATATACCAAGTTGAGCATTGATATGGTCTTTTTGCCATGTAAAATTTCAAAGTATAGTATTAAGTAACTAATTAAATGTTTTTATTCCTAATATTCACATTTATGTGAAAACAAATCTAATAATTGTAGCGTTTTTATATTTAGAAAATGTTAACTTACATTAATGAGCTATTACTTTAAATGGTATTAATACAGTTATGTGACATTAGGATTTTCATTTCCTCGATTATGGCAACTTCTGAATGTTTGGCCGTTAAGAACTGAGCCATCCTGTATAAATTAATAAAATGGACATATAATCTCATAATAGATAAATAAAAATTACCTGTGTCCTTTCGTTCGTTTATGTTTTGGACTTCTACTGCTAGACCTGGATGGGCTTTTACTCCTGTTTTTCTCACCATGGTTATTCCGACTACTAAAATTTAAATAATAAAATGAAATAAAGAATATTTGAATTGATTAAAATAAAACAATTAATTAAAAAAAAAAAGAAACAACTAAAAACTCACTTATTTGGAGAACTGTTACTGTTAGGAGTGTTGTTTCCAGAAACGACACTACCGTTACCACCAGCAACAGCCGTTCCTCCGCTGACAACTTTATTCTTTAAACGGGATTCTTGGTAAATTTTCTTCAATTCCTCAACTTTTTTTTCTAGCTCTTCAGGATTCACCTGAATAAAAAAAAAAATAACAGCTTTAATTTACACATTTTTTTTAAACTTTGAAATTGTTTATATATAAACTACCGGTTTGATAAAAGAAATTTATATTTAAAAATAAGAATTACCTTATCTCTTTTATAGAGAAGTAAAATCCTTCGACAAACGTCAAGAATTTGTTCTTCAGTAACCTTAAAAAGTGCAAACCACGGAGGTTGCTTCGGAAGGGCGATATTCATATATCTAGCACTTAAATATATACAAGCACACGCAACAGTTTCTGGATTGTATCTCATGAAGACGTCACTTCTTAGTGCATCGTTCATATAATTCCTACGCAAGAAAAAGAAATTTAGTATTTAACTCAGCAAAAATACATAAGATATAATATCAATAAATAGAAATACTATACCATGATAGTTGCATGAAGTCTCTATTGTCTTGAAAATTCAACAACTGCAGGTACATTACAATTATCTGTTAAAAGAAAATTTTTTGTTATTAACGTCTTATTATTGCTTATTTCAAGGAATGAATTAGAACTAATTGGGTAGTAGTATTAATTTTTTATTTTACTCGTCAATGAAAATTAAGTTATAAAAATTAAAAAACTAAGGTGAGTGCTTTGGACCACACGATAGAAGTGAAAACACCAACAAGACGAGATTAATAATATGAAATATGAATCATAAATGAAATAAAATGCAGAACATTTCTTTCGCTTACAGTAGCAGGTCCAATTTTTTGTTTCTGAGATATTTTAATTCTACAAAACTCGTTATTATTTGGTTATGGACACTATATTTTCTCTCTCTCCTACTCACTACGACAGTGATGGGTTAAGATACAGTTCTGAATAATAGCTCATTATAAAGAAGATGAAATGTTGAACATTTCCCTCACTTACAGTATACAGGTCCAATTTTAAGTATCTGAAATATTTAAATCCATATGTTTAACTAAACTCGTTATCATTTGGTTTTCTACACCATTGTTTCCTTTTCGTCTCCCCAACACGGCAATGCATTAACATACAATTTTAAACTATAGCCCATTACAGAGAGGATGAAATGCTGAACAATTTCCTCAATAACAGTATGCAGGTCCGATTTTTAGTTTCTGAGATGTTTCAATCCATATGTAAAAATATTTCAATTAGTCGACTCTAGCAAAACTTTAGCTGAGCATTAACACTTTGGAAATCTGACAGATCAATCTAATTCACCCTCCGCAAAAAAGTGCAAAACTTAAATTTTCTAAAATTTGATTGATAGGAGATGTGTAAATATGAAAATTTCTACCGTGAGTATACTCTTGGTAAATCAGTGCTTAGATGGGTTAGAAAAGTTCAAAAGTACCAATTTTTCATTAGAAATGAAAAATATGAAAGACCAACTAAAAAATGGTGTGATCTATTATGAGCTGCTAAAATCTGGCAAAAGGATGTGAAATGTTTTATTTTGGATCAACATTTAAGTAATGTTATCTTGTTCATCTCTAATGTAGTAGTCACCTGTATTCACTCCTTAAGTTGACATTGTGTGGGGGAATGAGAAGTAATATTTAGGAATGTGACGTTGCACGATGAATTGTACTCAATTGTACAGTGGACAAATTATTCATTGAAAAATCTCGTATCGATAAATAATCGATAAAGATGGAAGAAAGTTGGAGGAACCGAAAGGACCCAGCAGGTAGCAAAAGCTGGAGAGAAGAGAAGACGGCAAGGACAGGTAGAAAGGAGGTTGTCGGAACAGGGGACGGAGTTGAGGCGGAACGACATACCTGGGAAGAGAGTCTACTTACAAGATTTAGAAGATCAAGTCTATAGTTATAACACTTTAATAGAGTCAATTTATTACAGTTGTAGAAATAAATTATTTTATTATACAGGAGTGAAAAGTCATTTATTTATTTAGTTGTCCTATATGCCTCACGATTGAAGAATAACAAACCAGGTGAATCAATTCATTCAAAGTGTATTTACTAAGTCCCACATTTCATATATATATTCTTATTGTTTCTTCTCACTCAGTGTCACAAAAGTATTAGGTTCCCGAATTCCCAATAACAGTTCAACACCCTCAAAAATATATAGTGCCGGAGTTTTGTTTTAATATTCACGAGTATAAATAACCTAGTTCCCCGATATAGGAGGAAGGCTATTCGCCTATTCCCGCCAAACAAATAATTTAAAATTAACTTTTATTAGGTTATTTACAATAAAGATGCCTGAATCGGAAAATTGGTTATTTTTAATCCTTTAACAAAGGCGGACTCATATATTTATTATTTATTTATTTACATATTCCATCCTCTCATGTCACTATAGCAACACAGGTGAGGTGAACTCATATATGAGTTGAGATTATCAGGCCCTGTTTTGTTCAACGACAGGGTGTTTAATGACCAATTTTACTTACAAATTATCTCGCGGCCTTCCCATGAGGTAGTAGGCAATTTTTTTATGAATGGAGATCATGTGCATTTTTAAACGATGCCTTAAATAAAAAAGCATAAGAGAAGCTAAAAGGTAAAAAGACCTAACGCTTTGTTTAAAATTCAACTTTCAATAATATAATAAATTACAAAAAATAAATAAATAAAACTTGCCTTATGAGGGTGCTTTACATGAACACAAAAACCTAGTTCTTTTAAAACTCTTCTTTCAGCTTTTATGACCTGTGTCTTTAGGGCGATGTAATGCTGATCCAGAACCAGGGGTACTATTGGTCTAAATAAAAATATAAATCATTATAACAAAGCATTAAAAAAAAAAAAAAAAATAATCAAATAAATAACAAAGACAATAAACAGTTAGTAAGATATGTTTCACAGACGAAGAGGACGTATGCTATTTCTTTTTCAACTCGAAGTGGACTCACACAACATCTAATATTCGACTCATTATATTTTTCGAGATAAAATTTGTTCCTGCAAAATACTTACATAAGAATTTTAAAGCAATGGGGGACAACACTCGGAAATCTGAAAAAATTCGATTAAAATAAAAAATATAGATACACTATTTATCCCTGGAGACATAATTATCTTACCACATTCCAATGTATTTTGTACCTCACCTTCTTTCTATTATGTTAAATTCAGTAATACATTTTTTAGTTTATTTAATAATTAACATTTTTTTTTGTTTTATCTTGTACGTTTACTTTCGACTTTTTAGCAGTCCAAGTAGCTCCAGTCTAATATCCAGATCAGTAGCCTGATGGAATACTGCAGAAACAAAGTTTACGCACACAAAACGAAATAATAAATAAATAAAAGAAAGCAAGTAGCAATATAGCAAAGGTATATTACTTTAATTGGAAAATTAAGATTACATAAAATGGAACTGTCATGATGATCATAAAAAAAAAAAAAAAAAAAAAAAGTTAAATAATGGGATATTAATTTATTAATAAATGCGTATTTGAAAGAATTAAAAAATTAAGAAACAAAACCCGAATAAAATAACAAAAATTCCTTATAATTCATACGTACCCCAGCTGATCCTGAAAAATCATTAATAACAAAATAAAAAGTAAATATATTATTATTTACAGATGAGTAAATTTCTATAATTGCAATTTTTTTTTCTGTTTCTTCTGCATGAAAGGTATGTGTTTCTATTCTTAGAAATGAATATTTTTAATTTATTAATTGAACACATTTTTCATCTTCAGATTTAACACATTCATTATTGGAGAATGTCGCAAATAAGGATAACTGTACCATGATGCGACCCTCTATGCTCGTTTAGTAACGGAAGGTGACACTTGGGTAATGATGGACGGTCGCCAACCAATACGGCTGCTCGCCAGTCACTGTCCCATGGTCACACTCTCATATCATCTGCGAATGGAACCGCAAAAGCATATTTGAGCAAAAGTTCAACAACACAATAAATAAATTAATATTCTCTACAGGATTTTCTACAATTTTTTAACGCAGAAAAAAAAATTAACATAGAAAAAATAAATTTTTTATTTTTTTTTGTTACTATATCTTTAAAAAGACAATTAATTTTAATAAAATAAAACAAAGAATCAAACATTGCCTGTAGAATATCCTGTAGAGGAATATAAAATCAAAGATCCAATGATAAGCACTATTAGTTAATAGTAAAACAACAACAATATTAATAACAATGTAACTGGGAAATTAAATAATGGCACACAATTTTAAAACAAATTAGATATGTGATTTATTTACATAATTTTTCTTTTAAAAAAATAAATAATAATTAACAGAATCTAAAAACTAATAATAATACAAAAAAAAGTGACTCTTTTTCCCTCCTTCAGGAAAGAAAATGAGAAAATAATGACAAGAAATAGCATACCTTCCTCTGTTGTTAATGAAGAATCGAAAATATGAGCTGAAATATAATTTATTACTAATTCCTTATAGAACAATGGCTTATTTTTTTTTTTATTATATAGAATTTCAAAACATAGACAACGTAATTCACAACACATCGCAATAATGTAAAGAACGTGATCACAAAGCAAAAATAATCATATCAGAGGACAATGATATGTATTGACAATTAGGCAACAAGATTTTCAACTATTCGACACCTATTATCACATATATAAACTGCAATAATAAATATTTATTTCTAAATAATAGTAATTTAGAGAAAATAAAAACAATATTAATTATTCATTACCATTATTGATTAACGTAGGATATAAATGAACAAAGTTAGAGATCAGATAATCGTTAAGTGAACTGAAAATGTTCGAAATCGCACAGTAAGAAATCAAAATATATTGTGATGTTATATAACACCACATGCATAAAAAAAAATATCACCTTTTCGTTCAATTTATAATAGTATAAAAATTCACTAGGAGACATAAATTAAATATTAAATTATAATTAGAAAAATTCAACCACATGGCCATATGATCTTAAAATGCAAGTAAAGATCAAAATAACCTGTTAACATTCCACCGATTAATGATTTTTTCATGCTTAAGGTGTTACGTAATATACCAATTCTACACGTTCGGGGCTCTCGACGCCTATACATTTTGAGGTTTTTCACAGCACGAAAACATATCCGTTCTCTAAACATAACGTAAATAAAATAGTTGTAGGTTACGGTGAGATGAAACTATTTATGAAGTTTCAGGCGGATGTTAATAATTCGATAAAAAGAGGTCTGTACCACGGACTATAAATTTGAAAAACTTTTACTATATAATATTTCTGTTCCAACTAACATACCAGCCAATAGCTATTGCAAATGCCTACAGTATGCTCATACAAACAAAAAAAGAAAAATCCAACTTATAGTTTATTTTCACAAAAATAAAATAAAAAGAAATCACAAAAATCCTACTAAATATGTATGAAAAAATTTTGTTTTTAAGAAAGTTTATAAAAATTATATCACTTCAGAAAATAAGCAAGCTAAAAATTTTGGGCTCCATGTTCTATAGTGAAGGGCATAGCATTACTGTTATTCCAATTTAAGAGTAAAACATAGCATTACTGTTATTCCAATTTAAGAGTAAAACAAAGTAGATAGAATAAAGGAAATGTAAAATAACGATAACGAAGTATATATCTTACCTAAAAAGTATATTATATATCCTAACTTTGCTTCTGCTACTTTCTATACCTAACTTTGTTATCGTTATTTTACATTTCCTTTATTCTATCTACTTTATTTTACTTTAAGTTTATTCTACCTACATATTTTATACTATATCTTTCACATACATATTATTATTTTATTTTTAATGTTAGTAGTTCCTCATACTCGTTGTTATCTGTTTTTTTCTTAGCCCTGAATTTTTGGTCCAAACGTCGACAAAAATAAAAATTATTTATTTATTTTTACATTTTTTGACTCAACATACCAAACAATCTTTTCTTCAATTATTCACTACAGTCTACCATCATTGCACAATTAAAAACATATTTGCCAATTTACATATATAAACATGATAGCTCATAACCTCGGCCCTAAGTTGGGGATTGAAGTAATCAGTCTAATATTAATCATATCAAATTCCATCCACTACCTACATTTATTAAAGTATGCGCGAACGTACTTCCTTCGACAAACTAATGTTTTAAAAATGGCTTACCTACGATTTTAATAAAGTATTAAATTTTAAACAATCATTAACATAAGAATGTTGGTAATTATGTATAGAATAGGAGATGCAAGAAAGTAATGCCGACAATACTTGGCAGAAGTTAATTAATCAACAAACTATGAAATAATTAAATATAATTTTAATTTTAATTGCTTATGCATCATAATTATATTTATCACAAACTAAAGACACTTTCAGAGATAACTTAATTATAATGTCAAAAAATGAATATTTACGAGCGTAGCGGGGGAAACAGCTAGTAACAGATAAAAGAAAACTCAGGAATAGTAAAATCAATCACATTATACATTACTACTTTAGAACCACTTAAAGAACAATTTATTTTTTAAGTATGATTTATAATTTTGTAGCAATATAAATACTGATAACTGAATCTCGTCTTTTTATCAATATCAGTTTAAAAGAGAAAAAAAAAGAAGGTGAACTAAATAAATAAATTATTTGGCCAAAGTATCTTTTTCGGAATAAATGCCATTATATAAATAATCCAGAACGTAACAATACAATGAAAGAAACTTCTTATATATGGGATAATACTGACTAAAAATCTGCTATCTGCTAGTGGAGTCCTCAGTTTGATTGTGGCTTCAATGCACTCTAAGCCATTTATTGATATATCTCTCTGCTTTCCTGAAATATGGTTTATTTTGAAATCAGATATTCATTTTCCCCGTTTACAATTTCATCACAAATAAGTAAGGTATTTGTTTAAGGTAGATTACTTCTATATCTTTACAGATACAAATTAACTGATTCATTTGTGGTGACAATTTTATGAGATAAATAAAAAATATAACTATTAAACAACAGGAAGTCATTATCACATAAAAAGTATTTTTATCAAGATTATTGATAACAAATCCTATATATTTACTTTTTCAATAGAAAAGAGAGAAGAAAAAACTTATGCTTAGTTGTAAAGCATATAAAAAAAAAAAACTCAAAAAGCAATAACCACCTAATTTAATTTACATATCGAATATTTCAGTACGGAAATAATGAATATTTTATCAATTAACTTGGTTTGTTTACAAATTTAGATTAATTAACACACAAACCCTAATTAACATGACTGTTTGTAACTGTTTTATTAAATTAGTCTACAGACACTAATATAGGATCAGTAGATAGGATCAGTGCCTGGGCAAGTCTGAAAAATTTAAATCTAAACGCGACGAAAACTTAGGCCATTATTATAGGTTCCAATTCTATTCTTAAATCCATTTCCTTCCTTCCTCCTTTAGTCATCAAGGATTATCCTATCACATTCAGCTCCTCTGTTAAAAACCTAGGAATCACCACAGACGAAAACCTCTTCTGGAAACCCCATATTGCCCTCATCTCCCGTAAGTCAATAGGTACCCTTAAGCTATTTCATCGCTCCCGCCACCGACTACAACCCATCCGCAAGCTCCTTGTATCCTCTCTTATTTCCCCCCACTTTGACTATGGCTGTGTGGTGTACGGAGGCATCCCCATGATAGACTGAAGCAACTCATGAATACCTGCTTAAGATTTATCTTCGGTACATCGAGGCGGTCTTATGTGTCCCACCTTTACGACGAGTTAAAGTGGCTCTTCCCTTCTTTCCGCAGAC